ATATATATATATATATATATATATATATATATATATATATATATATATATAGTCCTTAAGGTATGCTATATTTATGATTATCAGTGTTCAGTATCAGAAACAGAGGGTATGTAAATATAAAAGACGAGATTGTGGTCAAGAACATTGGCGAAAGAGTGTTTAATATGTCTGGGTGCTTAAGTATTATAATGTGATTGTGTTTTTGTTGTTTTGCGCGTGAGTTTAAGACCACATTCACACACTTTGGATTATAAAAAAATATATATACATGTATTGTCAAATGACCGGATATTGTAGCGTCTTGTCGAACGTAATTTCAACGAACAAATAAATTGAATAACATATGGATTTTTTCTTTCCTCAATTATTTTATAGTTTTTAAACTTAATAGTGATTAAATTTGGATTTTAAAATTGGCAGTTTTTAATTTTAATATCAAATTTCATAATATAATTTTATAATTAATGGTTAGTATAAATCCTTTTAATATTACCCGTATTTTAAGATCTGAATAGCTATTATAATATGATTTCTTTGTCAAGCTTTTGAATCTTCCTATACTTGCATTTGATTGGTCATTCTAGCTTTTGTAACAATGATTTCCCCTAATGAAGGATCGTTAATTAATTTGAAACTTTTAAAACCATTTATTTTATCTTCAACATCATCACTTGATAAGACACCGAGGGTGTTGAAACAAAATGGCTATTTTTGTAGTGATTTTATAACATATTTATGTTATAAATTTTTTCAAAAATAAATAATTATATATATATATATATATATATATATATATGTAATATTAGTGGTAAATATACACATACATATGCAATTATATATCTAAAAATATAGATATATATATACATACATACATACATAAATACATACATACATAAACATATATATATGTATAAAAATAATTCCAAGAGGATAGAATCCAGGTAAAACTCAATGTCCAGGACAGAGTAAGGATATAATAAAAAGCCTTAAACACCAATGCAATAAATTATGGAATAAATCATGACCATAGAAATTTTTGTTTAAGCCTTGAGAGAGAGAGAGAGAGAGAGAGAGAGAGAGAGAGAGAGAGAGAATAATAGTTAAAAAATAAAGCAAACATTTTCATATATTCTTTAGTCCCCTTGGAGAATAGACAATTCCAAGAAACTTCTGAAGTCGGGGGAAACAACATGAAAAATTCGTAATAACAGTTAAGTAACTTTATCATATTTATATATATATATATATATATATATATATATATATATATATATATATATATAAAGGATTAAATGGATTTTAAATTATATATAAAGGATTTAATGGATTTTTAATGCGAAATTATTTCTTATTGCTATAAACGTTATATTTAGTGGATGGCTGTGTCTGATTAGATGTGTATGTTAATTTAAACATGCGACTTAATGTCAAGCAGCAACTGGATTGAAAATTCCTACTAAATAGAAAAAAGTGGGCCCCCACCAACTCCGACAGAAATCGATATTACATTCCCTTATTTTCTAAGGTCACATTTAACTGTTTCAGTGCCAGCCTAGTTGTAAACTTAAATTAAATGCATTCCGGACACCAGTGAAAATAGCCCGTCAGAGCAGTTGTTAGGGAAATATTTGTAGAATTATTTGCATAATGGCTTTTTAGCGAGACAAATGCAATATTATTTAAATTCCGCTAAAAAACAGATTCTTTTAAAAAAAAACAAGCTATAAAGATCTCAAATGGTAAATTTATTTTACAGAACCCGACTATGCATAGAAATACCGAAAGTTGTCTTCAAGAAACTAAGTAAAGGAAAATGCCGCCAAAAAAAGAAAAATAGTACTGAACTGTTATGTTATATCTAATCTCCTATATGACAGGTAAAGAAGGACACTTCCCTTACAAAGGATGAACTGGTTGTATTATAGACTTGTTTTTACGACTCAACTATCTTTTGCTCGGTACCTCCAGTCGGGCTTGCATCCTCGGTCGGGGCTTTGAGGGTAATTGACTTAAAAAAATAGTGTAGAACTTTCCTTTTTTTATTCTGAAAAACACATATATATATATATATATATATATATATATATATATATATATATATATATATAGGTAAAAGTTTTAAAATAGTTTGGTGTTCCATTCCCATTTGGTTATATAAGAGTTTAAGAAACTTACATTAAGTACAAATTTTATTTACTCCCAACTTATTGCTTGGCAACGTGTAATTATAAGATTTAACCTGATGTGTATGTGTGCGTCCGTGTTTGTATGTGGGTGAGATGAGCAGCCCCATGCGTGATGGAGACACAACATCTAGAAGGAAAGTCTTTTAATGAAACCAACCACTTTGACCTCATGAAAATGTCTAATAATCTCACCGAATACCGAAACGTCTGTCACACGGGTTCCCAAGGAACGCGTCCCTCGGTGACACACAAGACCGAAATCAAAAATCTGCTACTGGTAAGGAAAGGTCTCGTCAGATACCTCACTCATTAACTAAAATTAATCAAATGGAAAATAGGACACATCAACTTCTGTTTAGGATCACGTGATTTTCTGGGTGCATTTCAACGTAGAAAATGCAAGAATACAAACCTTAATATTGCCTGTATGCAAGAGGGCCATTAATTTGGTACTGAGTACATTTCACGTTTGGGATAAAAAATTATATTGGACTGATACAAGTTCTACTAATTAACCTATATCAGGGGAGGGGAAAAGAGGTGGATTCATACCTTTTCTCAAAGGTATTTCTGCGTAAATCTAATGTAAAGTTAAGAGTAAAATTCTGTGACACACGAGAGTCTATATTGATGTTTCAAAGTCTACATCAAAATAATTAACATGGAGTTGGAATTGCAATACGTGAATGCAACAAAAGTAACGCCCTTTTATATTTATTAATTTTAAAGCTTATAAGTATTTCCACATCAAAGCTACATGATTTGTTATGATTTAAAAAACTATTTAACACGCTCAAAATGCTCCCCCTTCATGTTCAATACAAAGCTGAAACCTATTAGCAACACTTTTACAAACTATTTGGCACATTTCTACATTAATTTCAGAAAATGTATTAGAAATTGCTTGTTTTAATTCAGGAATTGTTTGCGGTCTGAGCCTGTAATCAATATCTTTCATTACACTCTGCAAGAAAAAGTTTGGTGGTGTTTGGTCTGGTGGACGTGATGGACACTTAATTGCTCCACGTCGTCCTATCCACCTCAGCTCGGCATTAAGATTTAACCATTCCCAAACGCATAAGCCATACTTAATCTTAAGTCATTCTAAACTACTTTAATTTCCTTTTGTTCCGTAGTAATACACTGAAGCCATTTTGCATTTGGTATAAGGATTTAAGAGGGAATGTATAAATAAATTTCGATAAAAAGATATTTGGAAACAAAAGCTAACAATAAAAGTAACGACATTTATATAAAAAAAAAGAAAGTCACACAATTTTGTTTTTTCTTTCATCCCGGAAGCTTAGCGGAAATAGTATTAAGGATTCATTATTAAAACATAAACACACACACACACAGACACATACACACACACACACATACACACACAAACACTCACACACAAACACACACACACAGACACACACACACACGCGCATAGACACACAAACACTCACACACAAACACACACACAGACACACACATACAAACACCCCCACACACAAACACACATAAAAACACTCACACACATGCACACACAGAGACACACACAAAAACACACACAAACAGACACAAACACTCACACACAAACACACACACAGACACACAAACACACACACATACACGCATACAAACACTCACACACACAAACACACATAAAAACACTCACACATACAAACACACACGCACACGCATATATTTCTTTCTTTCGTTTTTGATCTGATGAAGACTAGCAAGGGCGAAACGCGTAATCTAGTTTCGATGAAATGGTTTTCCATTTCTCATATTCTCCAGAAAGTTAATACATGAAAATGGCGTTACTTTTGTCACACCGTGAATTGTAATAGAAAATATCTTAGAACAGTCAGAAAGGCAGATATCGGAAAGACTGATAGTTGCCGACATAACTGTTTTCGGTTGTAAAATCCCAGTGATATCAACTTATGCCCCATGAAACACCAGATCACGTGGTATAGCCCAGATAACATAACAAAGAAGATTATTAGCTTCAACATCTCGGAATCTTGGCGAGGGCATGTGATAGATATCAACATAAGCAACCCCTACTTTAAATCTGATTCTAAACTTTTTGTAACTAAACTGACAACGCCAGCCAACATAATAACTCGCTTCCATTCAAATAAACCCCGAAAGACAATTAGGTATAACATCCTTAAAAATGAAAGTGTAAGAGTAAAATTCTGTGATACACTAGAGTTCAAATTGATATCTCAAAATTTTCATCAAAATAACATTGAAAAATCAAATAATTTCTTTGTCAGAGAAACACTTGATTGAGTGATTGATTTATTTTTTACAGCTTATCCACCGCTTGCAGGTTATTTAAAGCCCCCAAATATTTTTAGATTGTCAGAATTTCTTGATAATAAAGATTTAACGCTGGGGATGGGGGGAAGAGGTGGTTTAATATGTTTTCCCAAGGGTATTTTCGCGTAAATGTATTAGGTTGGTGCAAAAATAATGACGTAATAATGTCGTTTTTTGACGTATTTTTTAACTTTAAAAAACGACATTATTACGTCATTATTTTTGCACCAACCTAATAATAGAACTAACCTGGCTGGAAGTGAAAATTGAAACTCTGTGATTTCCAACTCCGAGCCATTATCTATTACACCACCTGCGCATCTAAGCTTACCACACCTGGTATACCAAAGCGGTACCCATATACGTGCGGACCAGGCTCGACGTTGCTTAACTTCAGCGATCGTACAAGAACCGGCGTTTTGACGTGATATGACCACAAGCCCCGAAGCACTCGAGATCATTAGAATACCGGATGGGAAAAGATACCTTCACGGGACGACAATCCGGAGTTGAAATGATTGTTATAAGAAAGAAAGAAAGAAAGAAAGAAAGAAAGAAAGAAAGAAAGAAAGAAAGAAGAGGAAGAAAAAGGGAAGGGATATAAAAAAAACAAATAATGAAAAAGAAAGAAAGAAGAGGAAGAAAAAGGGAAGGGATATAAAACAAACAAACAATGAAAAAGAAAGAAAGAAAGAAAGAAAGAAAGAAAGAAAGAAGAGGAAGAAAAAGGCAAGGGATATAAAACAAACAAACAATGAAAATGAAAGAAAGAAAGAAAGAAGAGGAAGAAAAAGGGAAGGGATATAAAAAAACAAATAATGAAAAAGAAAGAAAGAAGAGGAAGAAAAAGGGAAGGGATATAAAAGAAACAAACAACGAAAATGAAAGAAAGAAAGAAAGAAAGAAAGAAAGAAAGAAAGGGAAGAAAAAGGGAAGGGATATAAAAGAAACAAACGAAAAAGAAAGAAAGAAAGAGAGAAGAAGAAGAAGGAAAGGGGAACATTAATAAACACCTAAGAAAATTACAAAAAATAGTTAATGAACTACAAACCGGAAAATCAAGTTAATAAAGCCAAATAGCACGAACAATGTGTTGAAATGTAGAGATAATGGAAAAATCACGATGGCATTATACATAAAAACAAAAGAAATGTCCTGGTCTCAAAAAAATACTTTTAGTCACATCTCGATCCTGACTAGACTAAGCTAAAAAAGCATACGGAAATAGTACATATATATCAATATACATCCAACAGGCTCGTGATTGTTTACATTTGGTGACTGACTTTGCAGTAATTAGATGTATATTAGTATAACTGAATGTGAAAGCCAGTACTTAATAACATCAACTATGAACACGGACACAATGCGCCGACCGTGTTTGGAAAATAAACCATTCATATAACTCTAGATACATATATAAAACAATCCATACATTCAGTTAAAAATAAAAATAAAAACATCTTTGAGAATGACTAAAAGCATAGCTGAAAGCGCTCGGACATAGAAAACACTTGGGCTACATAATTTATGTCCAGAAAAGAAAAAAAATAGGAACACAAGAAAAATTAAGTAAAAAAACTTAACCGCAGTACCTTATATATATATATATGTATATATATATGAGATGGGAATGATTGAGTGCCTGTTGGCTTCTGTTTTCAAAATTTGGAGCAGGTGTCTGGATGAGAATTTCTGTTTATTGGGAGTCAGAGAATATTAATTACATAAATGGCGCAATTATATACGAGACGGGCGTTTTTATTTTTGTCTTTCCAGCTGCTATTATCAGGTGCGTGGCATGGACTGGCCTGATGTAGTCGATGTCAAAATTTGATTCATAACGCATACAATAAAAAGAATATTAAAGAATAAACATTATATAGCAGTTCGGCCCTCTTTTTATTTGTTTCTGAAGACTTTTTTTTTGTTATCTTGCCTTGTGAGTGTCAAATTCTCCAGGCCTATTTTCTTTATTTCATGTACAAGATTGATTGAATGATTGTTTTTATGGCTTATCAAATTTTTGTATGTTATTTAAAGCCAGAAAATATTTTTAGAATTTTAAGAATGTCTTGGTAATAATAATGCTTTACTGATACAAATCTTACTAATTAATGCATATCTAGGGTGTGAAAAGGTGGATTTATACGTTTCCAAATCTATTTGCGAATAAATGTGTATAACGAATCCGACTTCGCAATTGGCTCATCAATTTCCAATTCCCAGCCACTATCTATTACGTCACCTGCACATTCGAATTTATAGCACCTGGTGTTGTCAAGAGGTTACACATCTATGAATTTATTACCTGTATGTCTTTATCTTCTGCCTGTAGAGCCGAGTTCGAATTTCAGTAGAATCCATTACATTCACTTACGTGCTAATAATATCCTTTGGAAAGGTATGAATCCTTTTCTCTCTCCAGCTATGGGTAAATAGCAGGACAGACCGGGTTCTATAGACTTGAATAGCAGCTGGTCTAGCGCAGAAAGAAATGGCAACCTACAGCGGAAAAAAATCTGCCTCGTCAGTCATATATCGAAAGATACATGATCGCCTAAGCGTGTATCAAGCATGGTACATAACTGACTGAAATTCACTTATGTGCTAATACCATTTGAAAAGGTATGAATCCTCTTCTACCCTCATCTATGAGTAAATAGGTCTATATAGCCTTAAATAGCAGCTGGTCTACCGCAGAAATAAACGGCAACCGACTGCGGGAAAAAATCTGCCTCGTCAGTCATGTATCGAAAAATATATGATCGCCTAAGCGTGTATCACTGACTGAAGTTGACTTTGTGTGTGTATGTTTGTATGTATCTTTTGAATCTTTTTGTGACTTTTGATAATTTTCTCCTGGAGTGAAATAAGTTGTTCTAAAGGAAACTACAAAATTTCTTACAGAAGGTAGCGAAGGAAAGCGAGAAGAAAGGACTAAGTATAAACAACGAGAAAACAGAATGCAGGTTTATCAGCAAAAGGATTGAGCCAAAAATGCAGATTACAAATCGGCTATACAAAAATGAAACAAGTATCTAAATTTAAATATCTGGGAAATGTTTTAGCAGAGGACGACAAGTGTGACACTGAGATCCGAAGACGTATTGGGATGGCCAAAAATACATTCCAAAAGCTAAGCATAATACTAAGAAACGGGAAAATTTTGTTAAAAACAAAGAAAAGAGTATTGAACTGTTACGTGATATCTGTCCTCCCTTATGGCAGCGAATGTATGGACAATCTCCTCAAGGATGAAGAAGAGACTTGAAGCAACAGAAATATGGTTCAACAGAAAGATGCTGAGGATAACATGGACCGAAAATGTGAGCAACGACAAGGTTTTGGAGAAAATGTAAACAAAAAGGAAACTTATACTTAACATAAGAAAGAGGCACTAGAAATTTCTGGGTCACGTAATGAGGAAGGAGGGCTCGGAAAATCTGATACTCACGGAACAGATTGAAGGAAAGAAGGACAAAGAAAAGCAGTGTGTAACATATTTGACGAGTTTGAGGAAATAGATGGCAAAACAGGGTTTAGGAGAAATAATAAATTCAGAGTTACAAGAGACAGGAAGGACCATGATCGTCTACTTCCTGTAGGGACACGGCACATAAAAGAAGATGTCAAATGTTAAGTTGTATAGGGTTTTTGCTGAAAATGCGTCCAATGTTCCGAGTTTGTTCGAATATTGTTGAACATTTTCAAGGAAAAGAAGGTAGAAAGCCGGGAAGCAGACAGTGGTGTGTTTATGTTGTTAACGATCCGATGTTTTGCATGAAAGGTGGGTTCACCTGCTATGCTCGTGGAAAAGATTGATGTATCATCACATTAAGATTTCCCTCGTGTTCTTTTAGATACATGAGGCCTTTTCTATGGATCCTTATAAATTTCCGACAAGCAGCTGTATTGTTAATCTTCCAGTTTGGTATCCTTTTGAGCATGATGCTATGCTCCATTCAGGGATTTTTTTTTTTTAGCGGCAACCGGTAGTATGATAAATGTTCTTGATTTTATACCGAGTTTGAATGCAAATGCAGATCGATCGAAAAGTATGACCATTTTTTTGTCGAGAAACTCCCCAAACAATGATACTCATATGCAACCATCATGTCGTATTTTTCATTTACGAACTGTATTCCTTCAGTACGGAGCCGATTATGGCTCTCAACGAATCCCTATCGCATCAATGTTTTAACCCATTACTATCCTTACCCGTCCATGTTCTGTCATTCAATTCCAAAAGCTCCTTGGACCTGTTACTGGCAGTTTTCATCTCCCCGTTCTTAACATGTTCCGTCCCTTGTCTCTTCCGTATTTTTCTGTCGAACCTCATCAACGTTACTCCCCTAAACGTAAGCCACCAATCTACCACTGAGTGGCACGCCACTAGCATTTACTACTGTCGGATCGCCGGCCTGTTCGTTTCGGCAATGCTACCACTTACGGACCGCTAGTGGCCCACCGTTTACTCGCCGGTGTGTGCCACCAGATGACCGCTGGCATTGCCGGCTCGCGAGCGGGCCACTAGCGTCTTACGTATTGGGGTCCTTACGACCGCATCAAGTTGAAACACCGCTCCGCATAGGATCACCAAATTCAAGCAACGTCGAGCCTGGTCAGTAGGTAGCGAGATGGCTGACCACTTGGGAATACTAAGTGTTGCAATTTTGGATGTACGGGTGGGGTAATGAGTGATTACCCGAAACTGTTAATTGGAGAGCCGAGTTCCAATTCCCGTTGGGTTCGTTATATTCACTTACAGGCAAATATCCTTGGGTGAGGTATGAATCTACCTCTTCTCCCACAGCTATGGGTTAATTAGTTATACTGCTTTACCAAAACATTATTTTCTCAAAAAAGTACAATCTAAAAATATTTTCTGGCTTTAAATAACCTGCAAAAGTTCATGAGCCGTAGAAAAGAAAATAATCAAATATTGATTAGCTATACAGGCATATCTTTTAGATTTATTTACATTCTCTGGAATCTAAATGTATAGAAACACCGTGACCACAAAATGAGGGATCAGTTCAGAAATTTTTTTAATATATAATTGATTCCCCACTTTATATATCCACCTTATAATTTCTTGTTTGTTTATCTTAATTTGATTAGGCATGAATCCAACTATTAGTATGGTTTGTCTCAACAAACCATTATTACCCCCCCACCAATTCTTACAATCTAAAAATATTTTCTGGCTTTAAATAACAAGCAAAGGGTTGATAAGCCGTAGAAAACCCATCCATCAACCAATCGACCATCTACGCTGTTCTCACGTAGATTATCTACTTCTACTGTGAGAAAATGGTGCAGCGTTCACTGCAATATAGAATTGATATTACATTGATATTATATAAGAGTTGAGCCTTTATTTTTTTCTTTGGTTCCAACGAAATTTCCATCTCTTAATATTGTACTTATTTTCTGGAAGGCATTATATCCTACTTCGATACGCATACGGATTTCCTATTGTCTGTTACAACGATTCACAGGGAGTTAAAAGTCTCTACTTGCCTTATTTTGACGGTTCGATTTTTGTAATTTACACATAGGTCAGTCCGTCTTGCTAATGACCAGGCATCCTCTCTTCTTACAAGTGATAGTTCTTTCTTCTAGCATTAGTTTTAAAAGGAAAAAAAAAGCAATAAAAAACAAAGGTACTAGATTTGCTTCAAACATCCTGTAATACATAACAAATCGAGGGAAAAAAGAAAGAGAAGTATTGTTATATGGGGAGGAATTTCCCTATCTTCAGGCTTGGCAAAGAATCTAGATTTTGTCATCGTGTGGAATAATGGTTATCATTTTTCTCAAGAGGATAGGTTACATCGACTGTTTTGCTTGGCTGTCTGTATCATTACACTCTAGTTTGAGTTTGGAGCGTTGCCGGTGAATACAGAGTAATACGGATATATGAGAACATACACACACAGATATAGCAATTTACTATCACAAAATAAATAATGCAATAACACTAAGGCATTAACTAAT